GGAATCCTGGACCAAACGTCCTTCGCAAACAATCCTTAGAACGGGATCCTGAATAAAAAGGGTTAAGGCGCCCTTGGTTAGGCATCCTGGCAACATCATCATCTCTTTAGGGGGGCCTTTTAAACCATATTCCGTAATACGGAATCCTTGGTAGGGAACCCTTACAATAATTCTTAGTGCGGGATCCTTGGCAAAGAAACCTTCGTCTGGATTTTTTAAGAAGGAAGCCTTGCGCAAGACTCACGATTAGAGAGCTCCTAGTATGTATCCCTTACTAAGGAACCAATAACACATATTCCTGAATACTGAATATTTACTACGGATTCCGAACTGTGGAATCCAACATAAAGCGTCCTTCGTGCGGAACCTGTTATTTGGCATCGTTAGCACGGGATCCTCAACATGAAATCCTTAGTTCGGGAGTCCCAGGTAACGATGGAAGGGGAAGGAACATGAGGAGGAGAATGAAGGGGGGGGGATAACGAGGAGGAGGAGGCATAGGAGGAACGCGCGTGCCTTCAGGAAACCATTCTCCATCATCAGGCCCCCGATGAGAGCCTGACTCCTCTGAGAATATGCAGGTGAGATTCGAGGACGCGGGCGGGGCCAGGCGCCGCATCCTGCTCTGCTTTGAGTTTATGGTAACAATGAAACGCGAGGACACAAAGGCGGTGAGCGTCCACGCGTGAGAAACAACTCGAGTAGTCCTCATCCAGGCCGACCCCAAGCCGAGCCATGGGGCAGGACGGCAGAAAGACACGAGGGCGACGTCGAGCGAGCAGATGGAGGAGACGAGGGCAGCAAAAGTAGTGAGGGAAAGAGTCGGGGCAGTCCTCGCAACCCAATCGGCAGCTTCGACGCGCCAAAACACGCGTACGGGCGGTCGTGATCCACCTGCCTGCTAGCGTCTTCAGATGCGCCCAGAGCCAATACGGGAGCGATCGGGCAAGCATAGCCCTCAGAGCGAGCCATCGCGCCTCCATCTCTTGTGGGCCAAGACGTCTCATGGAGGGGATCCAGGAGCGAAGGCGACGGGAGAGGAGGAGGTGAAGGCGATCAGGGAACAGGGAAGAGGAGAGGGGTCGGGATAGGACACGCTGGATTCTGGGCCGCCTCCCCTCCGCGGCAGCAGGAAGCTGCTCCTCTACGCCTCGAGCATGTGCCTCCTGCAGGGCTGCCCGCGGGAAGAGGTCGGAAGGGGGGGGGGGGGCGTCCAAAACAGACGCCACACATTGGGCGATCGATCGATTCATAGCCCAACGCGGTGGAGACCATTCGCCCCTGACGTGCCTAACACTCGATCCGTGCCACCAGTGCCACGCACTCAGAAGCTGAGCGAACTCTCTAGCTTTTGTCCAAGTTGAGAGCCCGAACCGCCACGCAGAGACGCGCCCCGGGACCATCGTCGCCGCGGGCGCCGATCCTGGAAGCCAGAGTCTTAGACTGAGGAGCTCATTCCTTTTCAACGTGTTCGGGGGGAGCCGAATAAGCTAATGCAAGAGCCAGTGCTCTTTGCGGAGGAGGAAGGGCGGGAGGGGGAATAACTGCGCGAGGTATGAGAGAACGGGGAGAGAACATGACTTATAGTTCCAGCAGGCGGCTTCGGCGGGGGCGCGAGTGGAGGCGGCCAGACGGACCCGATATCCAAGCTTCGTGCCTGGAGCCCCCCATTGCATATCAAGGGTGGCCTCTGGACCGAACAGCATTCCCAAGTGCATGGCCCGACCCCTGATCGGAAAGCTCGAAAACGACGGGGCAACAGACTGGAGGCGGGCCTCTACACGGGCCTGCACCTGGGGGGAGGTTCTGGTCCAGAGGGGGACTACAAAACATTTCTTGCTCTGAAGCTTCAGGGCCGCCAGCGCCCTGGCGGAATCAAATGCAGGGGCAACTCGGGTCGCCCCACTCAGCGCAGGTAGAACAACCCCCACGTCGTCAGCACGCGCTCCAGCCAGTGCAGGCGCCATGTCGGGTGGGCCAGCCACCAGGGAAAACGCAATCTCCCCGACATCCGTGCCATTCAACCCCGGGACGCACCCGTAGCCCTCCATGTTGCCATTGCACAGGTGGCGCAGAAAAGGGGTCGAATGTCAGCGCCCGCGGGGTGCCGGAGAGCGGGCGCCCTTATGCAACACCCGCACTCACGTGGAAGAGACAGAGCAGGGAGTCTCCACGCCAGAACCAGCACTGCAGATCATGGTACAAGGCTTGGATGGCCAGTGAGTTGCCAGTGGTGAGCTGATGAAGTTCCAAGACAACTCGTATCTATTCCCAGCTCATCGACGGAAATGCAGCACAAACATCAAATGCGACAAAGACAGGCGTAAGATACTCCGCAAACGTATGACCGCCCGCCATGCGCGCATATGTGCCCAACTCTGCAATATGCGTGGTGAATTGTCTACCACGGACAAGCCCTCGCTGTACTTGATGACATCGGTCTTCCGCAATCCTCCGTAGCCGCATATTTATGACACTGGCAATGGCTCTGGGGTCCGTGTTCTTGAGGGCCAAAGGGCGTAATTCCTTTGGGGCACGTACTAGATCCATGAGATCCTCAGGTCGTTCATCCTTCGGGATAAAGCACATCAGATGATGATTGAAGCCCTTCGGTGATCCAATCCTACTGATCATATCAAGCAAGACAAGATAGATAACCTCCACTGCATCGTCATGAGCCAACTATGCACGATAAGGAAGCCCGTCAGGTCCAGGGGCGCTGGGTTTGCCTTTGCGGAGGGCCAGCTTCCGGTCATCGATCGAAGGCGGGCGAAGAGCACGCGCTGCATATTGAGGAAGGTGATCGCGAAGGTAGGAACGAAGGACATCCGCAGGTGGAGACTCCTTCGCTCCGAAGACCTCTCCCCGATGACGCTGGAGAGCCGTGCCCATGTTCTCGGCGCCTCTCCGCGTCATCTCATCATTTTGTCCTACTCTGTCAGGCGGTCGCTCGGCCGGCGTGCGGGGCAGAGGCGTGCCACAGTCAGACTCCGATAAGACTCCACTGAGAAGCGAACAGGAGGACGACGAGACCGACAGCGAAGACGTAGTAATGCAAGAGCGGCCAGAGGAATCAACAGCGGTCGCTGAAACCGTAGGCTCGCGAGGCGCGGTCCCTGGGGGGGGGGGGAGGGGGCAGCGTCAAGGTCGCCAATGCCTCGCGGCATGGTCCGACCGCCAAGCGAGTCCGATGCAGCGACTTGATGACTCCACCCGCGCGACCCATCAGCGAGGCGCGGCTCGATCGCCATTAAGGTCGCCCCTGCAAGCAGCAGTGGCCCGACCACCAGGTGAGTCCGCAGCAGTGACTTGATGAGACGCATCAGGAGCATCAGGTGCCGCGGTAGATGTGTCCGTACGCCCTTTCTCATACCGCCCATGACCTGTCG